CGCGATCTCCATTGATGTCGGCTTCGACAACTTCGGACAAGTAAGATGGGCGCTGGCCGACATTACATTTGCAAGTATTGTATTTGTTTGACAAATTGTACACTGCTGTCATTCTATAACAATCGATTGGTCGTTTTTTTTCACAGTCTTACTATTCCTGCAGATATTCTTCAATTGTTATAGGTGCCATAGATTTACATATCTACAACTTGACCCAAACCATGCGTGCATGACAACCGTCACCCTATACACGGTTACTCAATGAATACCATACTCTACAGTAGACATTTTTAGCTCTCCACCAAAAATTGAATGGTTTTATTTCATATTAGTTGTGTCTGTGTCAGTGTCGTATTTGATTTCACATGTTTGGTTCGATCTTGTTTATGGTGGACATTATTGCTACGCGTATGTATTATTACAAATTTTATATGGCCGTGTGATCCACCGTATTTTTTCAACGGTCGTTCTATAAATTTTTGATTGTATTTATTCTTATTTTAACATCATAAAAACAAAAATGACACACTTGTACATGAAACAGTAGGTAATGAACTGTAAATGCGGGCGGTTGCTCTGTCAGGCGAGCGAGCGAGAGAGCGAGCGAGAGAGCGAGCGATCGATTGCGCGAGCGGATACTTCCGGATTTGCGCGGTCGAAAAAAAAGCGGAAATTGCGCGGTCGAATTGAACAAAGCGAGCGAAAAAAAAAGCGATCGAAATCCGGAAGCGGGCGGGAGGCTGGGCGAAATGAGTACTGTAGATATTTTGCCAGCAGAAAAAAAACATCTGCTCATTTGCATACAGCAATGCACTTTCTTAACATGTCTTGTGATTAGTTTATCAGCTGCCATTAAACAAATAATTAATTTTGAATTGTATTGTTATACAGACACATTGGCAACATTTTTAATCTTCTATCAGTGGTCTTCCCAAATCTTTACAGAAAATTGACAAGCAGTAGTGGGCAGCTCAGTGGAGAAAACAAATTCTGTTGTCACTGTGAGGTTGGTACAATTAGAAACAGTGAAATCTTTAAATGTCATTTAAAAACGAAAACATATCTTGGTGATTATCTGAAACTATCAATATATTCAGATCGCTCATTTTAAACAGTTTTCAAAAAAAATAAATCGTTTAGTCATTA